GCCCTCCCCTCTGCCCTCCCCTCCCCTCTCCTCTCCTCTCCCTTTCGAGACAGGGTCTTGCAATGTTGCCCAGGCTGGTTTTGAACTTCTGGCGTCAAGCAATCCTCCTGCATAGTCCTCCCAAAGTTACTAGGATTACAGGCATGAGCCACTGTGCCCTGCTTTCTTTTACTATTTAAAATGTAGCCACTAGAAAATTTAAATTACGTATGTGGCTCATTACATTTTTATAGAGGTTGTATTAGCTTTAAGATAGGTACTATTATTGATATTATCACCATTTTACAGCTGAGAAAACTGGGGTATGTCAGACGTTCATGCAGCTAGTAAGTAGCATCCCTGGGATTTGAACCTGGCTGACTGGCTTCAGAATCTGTTCTCTTAAGCATCACACTGTGTATGTGTTCTTCATATATTAAGAATATTAAGTCATTTTCCTGTTGTTTCTTGAAAATATTGAAGGATTTTTTAGTAGTGGGGTGACATGGGATATGTGTTTTAGAAAGATGATTTGAATCAAAGAAGGTAAAAGGTGAAGGTTGGGAGACTAGTTAAATGTGTTGATAGTTTAATAGAGAAAGGCATTGGTGCTAAATGCTTCATTCTAATCCTGTCCAATGGACTTATTGGTCAGGCACAGATAGCTCTGTTGACTGTATAAGGAGCTCAAGCTTTATTGGTGGATCTTTTTAGGTCTGCAGATTAGCACCAAATTGTTATGTGCAGTGTAGTATATTGTCATGATTAAGAACTTGTTCTCTGGCATCATACTGGTTGATTCAAATCCTAGCTTTGGCACTTAAAAGTTGTATTATCTTATTATGTTGTCCTTTGCATTCATAATACCTTTCTCGCCCTAATCACCTACCCCTCCCCCCCAATCTCTCTGCCAACTCCTTCATTTGTATTTCTTAGGCTTTTTGCCTTCTGAACTTGGCTCTCCCTGAACTCTCTTACCCCATATACCAGAATTCTGTTACCACTCAAACATTGGATCTTTCTGCTGGGCTTCAGACCTTTGTTTCCACCTGCTTATTGCGTACCTCTTTCTCGAAGTTCCATAGACACATCACATTTAACTTGACTAAAACAACGCTTAAGTTCCTCTAGTGTTTCATATTTTGCCCAGTTGTTTTTGTTGAACTACTTGTTTAAGCAAGAACATGTCATTCGTAACTCTTTATCATCAAACTCTGTGCATTCTGTCTCTCCAATATCTATTCCTTCCTTCTGTGTATTCCAGTTCTCTACTAGTTGATCTCTCTGCCCTTAGAAATTTCACCCTCCTTCCCTATCCCCCACTGTCAGTCCCTTGCTACAGAGGGTTTCTCTTCTTCCCACTCTTCCCAGCCCCAAACTGAAAAGTATAGTTTGCAGACGAATAATACAGAATGGATTTGAGAGCAAACAGGTAAATACAGGCATAATACGATGCAAAAAAAAAGTTGAATGCAAGAAGGAATGAATAAATGACAAAAGCTGCCTTACAGAAAGCACAAGTGTTTCCTAAGGAAAACCTTCATTGACACCTAAGGTAAAGTTAGGTATTGTTTCTTTGTGTATGTACCTGTAATTCTCATTACAATTTCTCTTAGGTTATTTGTCATGTATATTTTAGTCATAGCAGTCTTCTTCACTAGTCTTTGACCATCCTGAGAAGAGGGATTTTTTTTTTTTGATTCATTCCTCCATCCCCTGTGGTTTAGCATAGTGGTGCACGCCTAACAAATATATGTTTTTTCAAACTAAAATATTGGAATTACAGAGATATTAGAGTGGGAATGTAGTTTGTGTAGATGATAAAGGAATCTTAATATCTAATTTATGAAAATTAGCTAGTTCTTTGGAAATTATTTCAGTGTACATTAATTAAATAATTTTTATCTTAGGA